CCTGTGCCGTCAAAGGCAGCTCTTTCTAGTGCTGGGCCCGCTGCTCCCTACAGTACCGAGCTCCAGGCAAAAGGCCGAGGAAGCCAGCCATGTCCTGGTCCAGTCCACAAGATACGCACGTGCAGGGCCCATGTCTGGGACCTAATCGGTTACAATACACCACCCACAAGCTGCCCCTCACAACATGTGCCCCTTCCCTCCTTACCTTCAGCATTTCTCTCAACCATCTCCACTCACCTATCACCCTCTTTATGCCTAATTTAAGCTACTAGTGGTCTCCACCCTTACCACCAGCCAGGCTGGGCTCCCACCTTCCCAGGGTCCTGAAGCAGCTGCCGAGGTCTCCAACGGCCTCCCCTAGTTAACCCGGGAAGATACGACTCAGACTTTGGCCTCTGCAGCTTGCATTATGTCCAGGGTGACTAGGAGACCCCTCCCCCTCCCTCTGCTTCTTTCCCATCCCACAGTCACTCTTCCTAGGTCTCTGTCATCTTCCCACACTCAATTCTGCATTTCCAGCCTGACACTCTCCCTCAAAATTCAAGGCCCTTCTATTCCACTGTCCTCCAGCATCTCAGCTAGGGGCTCATCCCAGTTACCCCTTTCCTCCATGGCCCTCCCCATTACACACCCCTCTTGGTGACGCCAAGCCTGGTGGAGCTGCCCTCCTGAATGTCTTTCAAACCCACCTCTTTCTCACCTGTCCTCCTATGTGGTCTCACTGCCTCAACGGACACTGTACCGTGACACCACACTGGTCTTCTAAAATATAATCTGACTTCGTGCTTCCTCTGATTAAAACCCATGACGGTGGCTGAGCATAGTGGCTCATGCCTGGAATCCCAGCACTTTGGGAGGCTGAGGCAGGAGGACTGCTAGAGGCCAGAAGTTTGAGACCAGCCTGGTCAACAGAGTAAGATCTTATCTCCACAAAGAATTAAAAAATTAGCCAGACATGCTGGTGTATGCCTGTCATCCCAGCTACCTGGGAGGCTGAGGCAGGAGGACTGCTATAGTCCTGTCTCTTATACACATCTAGATGTGTATAAGAGACAGCCCCATTACACACCCCTCTTGGTGACGCCAAGCCTGGTGGAGCTGCCCTCCTGAATGCTAACTTACTCAGAGATATATTTTATCTCAAACTAAATACTTCCTAAAGAACAGACTGCCAGTTATACAAGGACATTAGACAAACATCTATGCT